TAAATTCTTGATAGCTCAGTCCTATATTCCTAGTATCGATAATAATCGATATTTTTATTTGGTTTTATAAGTAGAGTTTGAAGATCGTAGATGCTAAAGGCGATTCAGCGACGAGACCACAGCTGATGAATAGTCTTGTATGACGTTTGCAGTGCGAATCTACATTTTTATCGATAACGCAGTCCATATTCCTAATATCGATGATAATAGATATTTTCAAATGATCATAAAACTTAAACAGGCTTCAGAGTTTAGTCTGCAGTTGTAGAATATTTCGAATTTCGAATGCCTCGCCACATCTTTAGGTGAATAGAATAGAATAGCGGAGATCTACGATTTTGCATGCATGTGTGAGCGTATATCGATGCACACATATACAGAAAAGAGGCTAAGATTAATGAAAACTCCGCATTGTGAGCTCCAGCTGTATTGGGCAGTTAAGTCTAACCCATTCAAAACATCGTAAACTCAGTTTGTAAACTAATTTTGAGCTACTATTTTAAAAGTACGAAAATAGTCAAAAAATCAAAAACAATTCACTTTGACCAGTTTTTGTCCTGAGTAGCTTAGGATATACATATACTAGGTGTAGGTGTATACGAGGTGTAGGCTAATCCAAAGTTTAGCGAAGGCAGCTCTAGGGTCTCAGGGTGTGTGGTACAGGCTTAAGTACTCAAGGCCTATTGAAGACCTCTTGTTCAATTCAATTTTTTAGCAGTTAGTAAACTTATGTTCAGTAACCTTTTAAGCACAGCTTGAAGGATGTAATAGCTATACGATATACTCGTATAGCCCAGCTCCAGCTGGCTGAAGACTGTAAAGACTGTATTTTCCTGATGCACTTTGAACTGATTTCATATTCCTTTTCGGAAGCACTTTTAGCACCCCAGCTGGGCGTGGCAGTAGTTCGTCCCATGAAATCCGCTTAGCGCATTACAATGGTGCCACAGGGGCGGGGCGGGGGTTGGGGCAGTCTGGGGGCAATATGTCGCCGGAGCATGGAGCTGGCTAACAGTACATAAATCCCAGCCAGAGCCAAGCCACAGCGTTTGTGTTTGTGGTGTCATACAGCATCGAAATGAGACAAAGTCGAAAACTAAACAGCGAATTGCACACATGTTGCTGGTGGGCAGCAACATCAGCAACGGCAACGGCAACGAGCAATTTGGGTGAATTGAGCCTTTGGCATCGAGTGCTGTGATGATGAGCCAATGACAATGAGCTGGTTAACAATTTCTACAAATGTTTCTTTTTTTTTTTTTAGCATATCCGCTGCACCAGCAACAACAACAGCAGCAGCAACAGGCGCGACTATTGCGGCTAGGGCTTAAGCAGGCGGAGCAGCAGCATAAATATGCGTCAGTGCCATCAGCAGCAAGTCCATCCGCCACAGCGCCAGCGACAACAGCAGCAACAGCAACAACAACAGCAACATTGGTGCTGCCCACACCAGCAGCACTGCACGGCCAACAGCATCAGTCGTTGCCCATCGTCCACTACAATCCCATTTATGTGCAGGCGCCAGCCGAGCAGCAACATCATCATCATCATCAGCAGCAGCAGCAGCAGCAGTTGCAACAGCAACATCAATTTACAATATTGCCACGCTTTAGCAATAATAACCCGAAGGCGACATACAATCTGGGACATGAGTCAACGCCACCAATTCATGTTGTCCGATTGACAGCGGCGAACGCATTAGGACACCAGCAGCCGCAGCCGCTGCACCAATACCAACACTATCAGCCAATGCTGCAACACCAGCAGCAGCAGCAGCAGCATCAACAATTCTATCAGAGCCATGCTGGGTCCTTGGCCGGCTTTGCCGAGGAGCAACAGTCGCTGCAGCAGCAGCAACAGCACTCGTCGAGTCCTGCCGTAATTCCATATTTTAGCCATCCGGGCGCTGTGCATTATGGCACGCATTTGTATCATCCGGCAGCTGCAGTGAGCACAAAGCAACAGCAACAGCAGCAACAACAGCAGCAGCAGCGACTGGCAGCAGCGCCAACCGCAACAAGTGGAAGGCTGGCAGGTGACAATAGCGCAGGTGCTGCTGCCATCAAACAGACGTCAGCCGCTGCGAACATTGTGAAATATCCCTAAGCGCTGAGCCAGACGACATCAAAGGCAACAGCAACAACAGCTGCAGCAACAGCAACAGCAACAACAATAGCAACAGCAACAGCAGCAATCATTGCTGCAGCTACTCATTTATGACAGTCTTTGTGCATGTATGTCTGTGTGTGTGTGTGTATGTTTATCTAGGTGTGTGCTTCTTTTCACATTTCTTTTGAATCCATTTTAAGAACCTTTTCTCTGCAATTGTTGCTGCTGTTTGCTAATTATTTTGCATAAACTTTCAGCTGCATAGATTTTAATGTTGTTATAATTTTTGTTTTTGTTTTTGTTTTTTCTTTTTTTTTTAATGTTTTATTGGTGCTGTGCTGCATGTAATTCATAAAGATTAATTACCTAAAAATATATGTATTTTTTTTACATTCCCGACTCTCTCTAAGTTCTGCCAACTATCGCTGTGGTTTTCTGTGTAAATATTTTAAATTTCAAATATATACTCGCTATGTTTATATATACTATATGGCAATGTGTGTTTCATTTTTGTAGATGTTAATATAATAATATTATATATACATACATACACATATATGAATTGCTAATTGACACTTTTTATTGCTGAAATTAGAGCATTCAATGCTTAATCGCTTTTATATGCTGAACTCGTTTGATTTATTTCCACCTGATTTTCATTAATTTACTACACGGTTATCACCTGTTTTCCAGCTGTTTGCACATACGAATATGATTTAGGAACTACATTAATAGTCCTTGACTCTTCAGTGAGTGCTTTCTGCTTGAAAAGAGCTTTCACCTCACTCATTGGGGTTTGAGTGAATTCTCATAAGCCAAGGTTTGAGTGATATACAAGCAAGATAAATAAGAGCTGCAACTCTGCTTATAGGAGATATCACTTCCACACAAGGGAGCATAGCTTGCTTATAATTGTTTACCGTTTCTTCGCTTCTCACTCACACACTGCGAAAAGACTCAGAGCGCGCCATTTGCATCGCTTCCTTTACGAGCTCATTCGCGATCGATTAGCCGTTGTTTATGTTGTTGTTTTGTTTCGCTCTGATTGCTCCCTAACCGTTTGGTTGAGTGCAAGCAAGCAGAAAGTGTTTTGTGAATGTAGTGGTATGCATATGATTGTTGTATTCGCTAAGCATATCTGTTGCGTATGTAAATTGAGCATGGACATGTGAATGTGAGTATGAGTGGAAGAGTGTAAAGAGAGTTTGCATTGACTTATTGAGTTATTTTCAAACTACGAGCGTTAATCGTATCTCTCTCAAAACGATGTTCGTTAAGAGAGCGTCGTCACACGAACAGTTCAACTCAAGGCGCTCAATAGAAAATGAAAGCGAAAAGAAACAAACTCTCTTGCTCAGGAGCGAGCGAGAGTGAGAGTGGTATTCGAGCTATGAAACACTGAACTCCAATTTGTAAGCTAAGCTTTTATATATATATATAAGCACATTTATATGTGTAATTTAAGCTCCATTCAATCCCGATCTCTCTTGCACTAATACAAAGAATTAAGATGATATTTTGAGCACGACTGTCTCAACCCTATCCAGAGATATCTAGCAAAATCCCAATACTTCATATAAGATATGCATATATACACATACACATATGTAATTAATGTATGTAATTAATGTATCGGCTTATAGTGGAAATGATTTAATATATATGATAGGGATATAGAGTGGCCCGTTGGCCATTTTAATAACACTGATAATTTACGGTCGCCACGACAAATCGTAAATCGCATATCCATTAACCGACTTATGCGGGCTTTGGTCGTGGCTCGTCTCATTGTCGTTTAATTGAAAACATTTCTGCAAATATGATTAAGCTCTGATTTGCTCATAAGCGGGATGTCAGCCGCAGCAGCAGCAGCAGCAGCAGCGGCAGCAGCAGGAGCAGCGGCAGCAGCGCGCGGCATCAATTAAAATTGTTGCATTTAATGAGCGGCGATTGAGAGAGAACTAAAGCAGATGGCAGCATGCGGTGCTATTCGCTTCCCTTTTTTTTTTTTTTTTTTTTTTTTTTTGTTAATATCCTGTAAATTCATTTAATAATGAGCAGCAGGATTATGTAATAAGCGCTTCAAAAGTCCATGGCCAAGGGGGCAATCCATGGCGATGCGGCGCTTCAGTGTCAGAGGCTCATAAAAGTCACAGACCCGCAAATCCGTTGACATGCACACAACAACAACAACAACAACAAACGGCAAAAAATGAGCAAGGATAAAAGGGCTAAAAAGGATAGCTATCTCCGCTTGGCCACCGAACCAGACACGCGGCTATTATCTGCATGCATTTTATGAAAATCAGTTAAAAATTAAAAAGTGTTCAGTTAAATCCGATGCGCTGTTAATTGCTGCAGCCTTGGCCGACTGTTAAATGCTCTGCTCGCATGTTCAACAAAGCTTAAATGAGATATAAATGGTAAATGCGTCTAGGTTTATATGGTATATCAATAGAGAATATTGGGAAATTTCATTACCTTTAACAATTGCCAACAATCAGACGAAGCTATGCTTTAATCCGATAAACTCTTCCGATTTGGGTTGTAGTGCAAAACGATCGAGAGAAAGAGAGGGAAAGAGATAGAACGAGAGAGAGAGAGAGAGAGAGCGAGAGTAAGAGATAGAACGAGAGCGAGAGAGAGAAAGTGAGAGAGAGATCAAAATAGGAGATCAAAATACTTTTATGTAAATCGGAATTACTTGATCTTTTGTTTGCAGACCGATTCGACTAAGGCATCAAAAATAATTTATAATGGATAATATTCATAAAAAACTGAAAACTGTGCATACAGATCTTAATCTGCTCTGACCAATAATCATGCCTATGATATGATATCATGCTCTATGTAGCTTATATATAGATAGACCTCTTTTGTTTTGTGGCTAATAGATTTATTAGTAACAGTGTTTATTCATAATGAGCTTTAAACAGATGATATAAAGTTGATATAAAGTATATTATAAACTCTTCAAATTATATTGAAGAGGAATTGTATAAAATAAAAGAAGTGGAAAAAATCACAAAAGTGTAGACTTTTACCAGCATCAGGTCAAAGTGTGTGCCAAGCCGAGTCGGGCCTAGTATATATGCGTATATACATATATAAATGTCCTTTTCCCATTCACATGACACTTTCATAATTATATTATCAACGGCTAGCGCGTATACGCCGCGTTGCTGCGTAAGATAAACAACTTCCGCTGGACGCCATTGGGTGACACTTGCATAAAATGCGCATTTCCGGTGGCAGCTGAATATGAAAATGGCGGCACGCACGCACGCACGCACGCACGCACGCACATCCAGCCGAGTCCTGCATGGCCAGCGATACGGAACGCCGCCAGTCGATGGCCATATTGGGTGAGCATTCGCTTCAATGGCTTCGCATGCCCAGCAACTGACTCGATGGGGAATATGGGAAGAAACGGGAAGAAGCCATTGCATGTGACAAGAGAACAGAGTGAATTTCTTTACAAGTAAATATATCGCGCACCGTGACGAGGCGATATTTATCGCACAGCTCAGATCAATGGTAACTCAAGTGCCATTTGTGCTACTACAGTAGAAGGTATCCTCCAGTCGGTAGGACTCCTACTTATTAAACTGTGCGTGCCAATTATTTTCAATAATATAAAGCCTTGCTGTACGACTCTGTGTGTGTGTGATGGTGTCTGTGTGGAGAGTGTCCTACGATATTCATAAGGCTGGCCTGTATATACTGCTTATATATAAGTATGTATATATGTACGTATATACTTAGTTCTTCGATTTGGCTTCTTTTAACAGCGTGAACATGGTATAGGCTCCCTTGATAACCTGAAAAAAAGAGGAATAGAAACCAAGTCAACGATATAATATCTAGTTTATCTACATATATCATAACTGACTTGATTTATAAAATTATATGTCGCACAGGCCGAAGGAAATGTACCTGATTCTTCATTCTACTCTGTCCCTCCATATTTACGTCCATCTGTCAGTCCGCCCATTCGTCAGTCTACCCATCTGTCGGTCCTTCCGCCTGTTAGTCAGATCGTCTGTCGGTTCGATTGTCAACCCATCCACACATATATTACACCGTCCCTCCGTTGAAATGTCCACCCCTCAGACCATCCAGCCGTTCATCCGTTCTACCGTCTACCCGCCCGTCTGTCCGTCCGGACGGATGTTCCGAATGTCCAGTAACCCATTTGTGACTCCATTCGTCCGAATGTCTCTAAATCCGTCTGTCTTTTCCTCCGTTTGTCTGTTTAGATGTTTGCTCATCTAACAGTCCGCCCATCTGTCGGTCCGCCCGGAATCCAGTCTGTCCATCTATCAATCTGACTCTGCTCGTCCGATCATGTGTCTGTCCGTCTATCTGTCTGTCTATCTGTTCGTCCGTCCGTTCGTCTGTCTATACGTCTGTCTATCCGTCCGTCTATTCGTTTGTCTATCCGTCCGTCTATTCGTTTGTCTATCCGTCCGTCTTTTCGTTTGTCCATCCATCTGTTTGTCTGCCCGTCTGTCCGTCTGAGTCTAGCTCGCTTATCTGTCAGTCTGTCCGTCTATCCTTCCGTCTGCTCTTTCGTCTATCTATCTGTCTCTCCGTCTGTCTGCTCTTTCATCTTCCTGTCCGTATGTATGTCCATCCACCCGTCTGTTTGTGCATGCGTCTCTCCGTGCCTTCCGTCCGTCTTCGCTCAAATTACAGTAAATCTCCCAGACCCTCTGCCCGCATACAGTAAACTCTACCTACCGAAAGCAGCGTTGTCATGCGCACCGGCAAAATATTGCCAGCCACAATGCAAATGGGACGCTGCGAGCGCATTAGCATGAGCACCAGGGTACGCCGGAAACGGACCGGCTGATCGATCCAGTTGGTGTCATAGATCGCAATGGCCATCTGTCCGCCCTCGTGGGTGACTTGCTCGGAGGCATAGCAGATGAGCAGCGTCTCAATAGTGATGCTCGTCAGCAAGGAGAACACATGGCATAGCCGGAAGAAGCTCATCTCAATGTAGATCACGATGTACGAGAGGGTGCACAGAGAGGTGGCCGTGCAGACGAACTGAATGATGCAGGCGCTCGACATGGAGGTGTTCAAGATTTTCAACAATCTGCAGGCGAATAAATGAATGAATGGGAAACAAACTACATACATATATCTATATCTATATAGTATATATATAAAGTCTCTTTACTGCAGTATGGTCTGATGATCCTGGATGCATGCAAGCAGCTGCTGGTGCGTCTGCTCCTGGCTGAGAGCATTGTGGCCCAGCTTGGCGATGCGCAGGGCCAGCGCCTTGCAGTGGGCAGCGACCATGATGAGATAGACCAGCGGATACGTATCGTTGCTGGCGCAAATTACTGCCAAGGCAAGTATGCCCAAAGACTGGACTACGAAAGTCAGTGCGTAGATGCCCTGGGATTCCTGATAGTCCCACGGCATCCAGGAGGGGAACGGCAACTGACGTTCGGCTGAACAGGCCGCAAAGCAACAGCCACTGACAACGGCCGACAGGAACAGTTGCAATACATAGCGACAGATCTTTTCCGACTCGTCGATCTTATCGCGTATGGCTTCACGTTCCGGCGCCGACTGCAGACGGCCATCCAGCTGCCGCATGATGACCTGCAGCTCCAGCAAATGGCCACGCACGCGAATCACATTGATCAGCTTCATCTGCTGCACGAAGGTGACGGCGGCCAGATAGAAAGCCTCGCAGAATGCAGTTAGGGAGCGACTGTGCAGGCATTCCATGTAGAAGGACAACGGCATACAGATCATGGGCAGCACATTGACCACAATGCTCCAGGCCCTGTAGTGGCGTGCCCAAAACGAATCCTCAGCCGGCGGATGGAGGCCAATGCAGCGCCAGAAGTACCATTGATACCGAAAGGCCCGTGTCGAGTCTACCTCAGTCAACATCTGGTCTGCTATTGCTGCTATTGCTTCACTGTGCCCTGGCCAGGTCCTGGCATGTCCTCTTTATAGCTGATCCAAATTCGAATCCGAATCCGCATTGCTGTTGATTTATGCAAATTGCCTGGAAATTGGCTGACAATTTGAATGGCCAACACCCTAGGTGTTGCCTCCTCCCTCTCGCCTGCTCAACTAGAGTCCTCTGTCAGCTGGCTAATACAATCCATTATTGGCCACACTTTAAGTGCAACCGACATCTATTTTAGTTCTTTTCACTTTCTTTGACTCACAAATTATCCATAAACGCATTCGCGGACTTTATTCAATTATTTATACCAATTGTCAATTATAATATAAATGTTATGCCCTTTGACAATGCCGAATTCAAGTGTTCTGAATGTCTGGACTTAAGCTGTATATAATATATATATATATATATATATATATATATCTTAGGTCTCATAATGACGTATAATATCATATAGGTATTTCCGAGTATTTAATATCCATTTTTTTAAATTTTCAATGATCATTCTATGATTGATTATATATATTTAATTATATAAGTTCGCATATTCAGACACAAACTTATGAGAATAGAGAAAAAATCCGAAGGGGGCATAGTAGATAATAGCACGCTGGCAAAGAAATTTTTTAAAATAATATCAAAGTGACTTTAGAGTAAATATATATTTATATAAATTAAGTCATTTTAATTGATCCTTAATTTTTTAAATTTTGTTTTACTTATTTACTTACATATAATTACTTAATTTTTATTATTCATATTTTCATTTATATTTTTTAAGTAGCTTTTATTTTCTATTTTTTATAGTTTGGATCTTTAATTAATTTTTTTTTTTTTTGGTACTTACTTTAGCATGTGTTGAAAAATATATATACATATTGTTTTTAATGAAGTCATTTTCTCTTTTAATTTATATTTTTATTTTATCTTTTATTTATATTTAAAATGTGTGTTAACTTTTTGATTACTTTTAATTTTTTTTTATTTTTAAAAATAATTTTAATTAGATATTTAAATTTGTACTTTATAAAATATCCTATACATTTTTTATTTGAATTTTTTACTATGCCCTTCACATTTGTGAATTAATTTCTATCGACTGCTTTCCGATTGGGATTTATCATGTCGCAAACTTTTGGAGTTTGGCGCTTGGTGACAGAATCTTGTTGGGCAGTACTTTTGACCTTTCAAAAAAATACAGAAAGAAAGGCAAGACTCTTAAGGCAACATCCAGTTTCTAGTAGAGCCGATTAAAACAAAGAACAAATTAATTACTAAAATATATGCATATATAGAGAATAAATTTGTATACAATTGAGAGCGCTCGACCAGATTGTTGGCCTAACTCGAAACGCTTTATTTGGCGATCTATCTCTGTGAGGGCGATTGAATTGTGGGCGTGGCCTGGCTTTGGAGCTGTGCGGATGGGGCCATTGGGGGTGCACAGGTGCTTGCACAGGTGTCAAGCGCGGCGTGTATTCAAATTAATAATGCCAAATTGATTGCATAACATTTGTCAATGGAAATCTGGTTTTCGGCCGAGTCTAGCACGACGGGCTTAGCCCATCCGTCAGCTGCACCGCAGCGCGCCATGATTGAATATGATTGATTTAGGCGGCATAAATTATGAACAGGCCAGGCCAGGCCGGGCGGGCCGGGCGGGGCCGGGCTCTCGCAGGTATTCTTGGCATTCACCGCCAGTTTGATTCGATTCCATTCAGCCGCCCCCCCCGGCCAACGCGACCTTGGGCATTTGACAAATGAGCTGCGTAAGCCGTAGGATTTGCACAAGACGCACAATTAAATGACTGCCAGGCGGCAAATTGACATTGGCTGGGCCACAAAGGACCCAACTGCTCAGGGCCACCTTTTTAGTGGCATCGCATTGCGTCTCAATCCACCCAAATGAGTAATGTCAATTGCAGGTCAATTATTGGAAATCGACAAAAATACTTGTGAAGCTTGGCCAATCGCAATTTGACAATTTCAATCGGATTGCCAATTGGCCCGGACGTGAGCCACATTCAAATTGGCCGCATTTCAAGCAGTTGCCGCAGTGCCAATTGGCCACTGGGCAAGTTTACCCAGATTCAACTCAAATTACTATTCTACAAACTAAGCATATTGCCTCGACTGCGGTTTCAACATAATGAAAGCTTAGACTCAAGTATACTCGACTGAATCTGTCTAATCTTATTTATCTAAGAGCAATATATAAATGTACATATATAGTATATTATAAATGCAATTCCTATAAAGAATCTCAATAAGTATATTGATATGCATATATCGATATTTCAAGATTAGTTATCGAAGCTACATACATTCCAAATTTATTATATACATATGTACATATATGTATCTTTATATTGTAACTACTACTTTCAAATAAGTATGATTATATTATGAATGTAGTTCCGGTAAGGATTCTTGAAATATATATATCGATATTTTAAGAATCTTGATCAGATCTATCGATATACATTTATCGATCCCTTATCGATAATACTTATATATTAAAGTAAAGTAAAAATTTATATATGCATTATATGGTACAGCTTTTAATAGTTATTATCGATAGCAATTATCGATATGGATAGTTCTCAAGATCTACATAGTTTGCCTAGTTACCATCGTATCATTCAAGCATATATAAATATATCTTACCAACGGAATTCAAACTAAATTTGATAATTTCCAACGATAAATAATGAGTAGATAGACAACATATCGATACCTTCAACTTGTGTCAGACAATGAAATAATGTACTTAAGCGGCTTACTCAAATACGGATATTAGTTAAGCTCTCTTTCGTTTTTAAAGCATTGCAAATTATTTAAGCGCGTTTTTTCCACATATTAATTTTATAAAGAACTTTTTCAGCTTTTGTTTGCATTTGTGCGCTGAAATTTCAGACAGAAATTTTAGCCAGAAAAAGTTTGCAGAGAAAAAAGCGACAAATTTAACAAATTCTATATCCACATTTAGTGTATTTATTTAGGCATTAATTTTGTTTCTTTTGAACAGATATTTGTATAACAAATAAAGTAAAATAAAATAAAATAAAAATAACAAAGAGCAAACTTTGTCTTTTGGGCCGACGGAAATTAAATATAATGAAAATGAACAAATCTATTTACAAGCCTACATATTTTTCGTATCCTACAGACTTCCGTTCGTACTTAAATTAAAAACAGAACCCAATGGCAACAAGAAGTCGAGAGTGAACGACTAAGGAATACCCTAAAGTCTGTGAAGTGCGTGATAATTGGACTAAGTATCGTATTAAAGCGAATGTATTTATCAATATCCTTAACTGCGATATACTACTATATAACTTATGTAACTAAAGTTTAATATCGATGATCAGAGCTATGTATGCGCTATAATGGGAAGCTCTTCAACGCTTTGATAACCAATGTTTATTTTCGATTTTTATCGATTTCACGAAAATGACATAAGGTTCGGAAGCTAAAAGAATTTATATAGTAAATTTGCTCGTGGAGATATATAGCTTATAGAACTTCAGTTTGTTATCGATTTATAATAAATGATTGCTGAAAACTGACATATAGGTAACTTTTATAACCCAAACCATCAATTTTGATTGACGCAAGGATAAGGGCGCTCATAGTATAAGTTCATCTAATTCTGATCAAGAATATATGTATATATTTGATGATATCATATGAAACCTCCTCCATCTCAATATGCAAGCTCGTTAACACGTGTGTTTACATATTTTTATATCATTAATTTATATATTTTTAATTTTAACATATAGTTTTTTATAATTTATTTTGTAATATCCGTAGAGATCGCGGCATCAATGAAACTTAATATAAATTTATTGAATTGTAATTAGCATGTTACACATATCTCCACGTAGCGATACGAATCGTATTTACAAGCCCCGTTTTTGGAAATGTGGAAAAGAAAAACAAACGCCTTCGTTCAGCCACAAATTGCTGGCATGTAGGCATTAGCATATGCTGATAGTTCAGTATACACCTGACCATAATTGGCAGCTCTGTAATTAATAATGCGCATCGAAATATATGTTTACATAGATACACATTCGTATATAGAGCCAAGCAATCAAAGAAATGTCTTAACTATTCGGGTAAATCAAATTAAATTACGACTCTTCAATAAATTAATTGAATGAGATGAAATTTGAGCGATTTTATTTTGGTTAAAACAATAACTGTGTATATATGGGAGACGGCTGGATACCCTGTAATAGTTGGATATTGTATTTTTTATTATAAAAAAGTTTTTTAAGGAGCTGTATTTCTTTCTCTTCCTATAGGTATCTCAATTTTTCCTTTATTTTCCGTTCCCCTGTCTGCTTTTCTCTCTCTATCTCTCTCTCTCTATCTCTCTCTCTCTCTTTCTCTCTCTATCTCTCTCTCTCGCTGTATCTCTGACTGAATGACTCTCTCTCTCTATCTATTTATCTCTATCTCTTTCTACCTCTCTCTCTCTCTCTCTCTCTCTCTCGCTGTATCTCTGACTGAATGACTCTCTCTCTCTATCTATTTATCTCTATCTCTCTCTCTCTCTCTCTCTCTCGCTGTATCTCTGACTGAAGGACTCTCTCTCTCTATCTATCTATCTCTATCTCTCTCTCTACCTCTATCTCTCTCTCTCTACCTCTATCTCTCACTGTAACTCGCTGTCTCTTTCTCTCTATCCCCCTCTCTACTCTCTATTTGTCTACCTAATTATTTATCTATCTCTCTCTCTCTTTCTCCCTCACTCCACCTCTCTCCCTCTCTCTTGCGCTCCATATCTGTCTTCTTTATAATCTCCAACACGTGGTATCTAATAGCATATCATTTGCAAAAACAATATGTTTTTTTTTTTTGGCAATTCATTAACGTTAACAATGTTTTCATTTGTAACTCTCTAATTTGATAATTTGTTAAGCTCAGGTAGAAATCGAATTGCATCAAAGCAAAAAAAAAATATATATATATATGTATATATATATATATATATAGTATATAAGTGTATAGTATATAGGTTGATATAACAATTAGTCTTATTAGGTGTTAGATGGCACAAAGCCAGTTCTGAGTTTATTATACAAACAATGCGAAGTAAAGACGCCCACGCATGCGATGAGAACCTCCTAGCCTAACCAGTCAAAAGTTGTCAAGTACGCGCTTATAAATAACCCAATGGCTAAGCTGGGCGCTTCACCTGCTTTAATGAATGAACAAGTAAATGTGAGTGAATGACGGATGGACGGACGGATGACGGACAGAGTGACGGACGGGGAGACAGACGGACTAACTGACTGACTGTATATTCGCAAAGAAACAGCGAATGTGATTTTT